ACCGATACCCTGACTGGAACAGCTACCGCCACCGATACCCTGACTGGAACAGCTACCGCCACCGATACCCTGACTGGAACAGCTACCGCCACCGATTCCCCGACTCGAACAACTACCTCAACCGATTCCCCGACTCAAACAGATACCCCAATCAATTCCCTCGACTCAAACATACCCCACAATCCCCCGACTCAAACAGATACCCGGTCCCTGACTGAAACAGCTACCATCACCAATCCTCCGGATCAAACAGATCTCCCTGTTGGTCCCCCGACTCAAACAGATAACCCCACCGATACTCAGACTCAAACAGATACCAACACTGATCCTCCGACCCAAACAGCTACCCCAACCGATCCCCTGAATCGAACAGCTACCCCAACCAATCCTCTGACTCAAACAGATACCCCCACGATACTCAGATTCAGATATCTCCACCGATCCCTGACTCAAACAAATACCCCACCGATACTCAGACTCCGATAGCTCCACCGATACCTTGACTGAAAAAGATACCCCTACTGTTCCCCCGCCTCACACAGATACCCCCACAGAACCCGGGACTCAAACAGTTACCCCACTGATCCCTCGACTTAATCAGAAACCCCAATCAATTCCCCGACTCAAACATACCCCACCGATCCCCAGACTCAAACAGATAACCCTAACGATTCGCCGACTGAAACAGCTACCCCCACCATTTCCCCGACTTACACAGATACTCCCACCAATCCCCTGACTCAAACAGAAACCCCAATTAATTCCGCAACTCAAATAGATACCACCACCGATCCCCCGACTCAAACATATACCCCAACCGATCCCCCAATTCAAACAAATACCCTGACTGATCCCCCGACTCAGATATCCCACTGATCCTCAGACTCAAACAGATGACCCCCAACGATCCCCCAACTCAAACAGATACCCCCACCAATCCACCGACCCAAAAAACCCAACCGATCCCCCGACTCAAACATACCCCACCAATCCTCTGACTCAAACAAATACCCACACTGATACCCCGACTCAAACAGAAACCCCCCTCTATCCTCTTACTCACACAGATACCCCTACCGACCCCCGACTCAGATACCCCCACCAATCTCCTGACTCAAAAAGAAACCTCAACCAATCCCCCAACTCAAACAGATACCCCCACTGATCCTCTGGCTCAAACAGATAACCCCACCAATCCTCCGACTCAAACAGAAACCCCAGCTGATCCCCTAACTCAAACATACCCCCATCGATCCTCTGACTTAAACAGATACCACCACCCATCCCCCAACTCACACAGATACTCCCACCGATCCCCCGACTCAAAAAGATACCCTCACCGATCCCCGACTCAGATACACCAACGATCCCCTGACTGGAACAGCTACCGCCACCGAACCCCCGACTGCAACAGCTACCGCCACCGATACCCTGACTGGAACAGCTACCGCCACCGATCCCCCGACTCGAACAACTACCCCAACCGATCCCCAGACTCAAACAGATACCCCAATCGATTCCCTCGACTCAAACATACCCCACAATCCCCCGACTCAAACAGATACCCCCACCGATCCCCTGACTCGAACAGCTACCCCACCGATCCCCCGACTCAAGCAGCTACCCCAACTGATCCTCCAACTCGAACAGCTACCCCCACTGATCCCCAGACTCGAACAGCAACCGCCACCGATCCCCCAACTGAAAGAGATACCCCCACCATTCCCCAGACTCGAACAGATACCCCTGGCTCAAACAGATAACTCCACCAATCCTCCGACTCAAACAGAAACCCCAACTGATCCCCTAACTCAAACATACTCCAATCGATCTTCTGACTTAAACAGATACCACCACCCATCCCCCAACTCACACAGATACTCCCACCGATCCCCCGACTCAAAAAGATACCCTCACCGATCCCCCGACCCAGATACCCCCACCGATCTCCTGACTCAAAAAGAAACCCCAACCAATTCCCCGACTCAAACATATTCCCCCACTGATCCTCCGACTCAAACAAAGACCACCACCGCTCCTCCGGCTCAAACAGATACCCCCACCAATCCTCCGACTCAAGCAGAAACCCCCACCAATCCCCCAACTCAAGCATACCCCCATCGATCCTCCAACTTAAACAGATACCGCCACCCGTCCCCTGACTCAGATACCCCTGATTCCCCCCGGCTCACACAGATACCCCCACTGATCCCCGACTCAAAAAGATACACCAACGATCCCCTGATTCAAAAAGATACACCAACGATCCCCCGACAAACAGATACCCCACCGATCCCCTGACTCAAACAGATAGCCCCAACGATCCCCCGACTGAAACAGCTACCCCCACCGATCCTCAGACTCAAACAGCTACCCCCACCATTTCTCCGACTCAAACACATACCCCTACCGATCCCCCGATTCAAAACGATCCCACCACCGATCCTCTCGACTCACACAGATACCGCCACCGATCCCCTGACTCAAACAGATACCCTCACCAATCCGACTCAGATACCTTAAATATAAACAATAGATACCTCCCCCAATCCCCCAAGCGTAAACAATAAATACCACAACCAATTTCCCAACTGAAACATTAGATTACCTCCAACAATCCCTAAGTCAAAACAATAGATACAAGAAAAGAAAAAAACAATATTTTCTTATAAGTGTGAACTAAAGTGCTTAATGTATCTGATAGAATATGTAGTTTAGTTAAGCAGCTGTAGCACTCTTATGGTCCTCCTATTTACCCAGAAAACAGAAGTGCAAGTAAACACCACTTGGTGTGAAAACTAGGTTTAGATAGTAATACCCTTAACACACACACTACAGAATATAGTGCAGCGCTAGACAAGGCTTACCCATACAGTATGGGGCGTTTCTCATATACAACCAAAAAGACAAAAATAGAGAAATACATAATAGTACAATACTGTTATAAATAACCATTATATACAATATAAATTAGGAACATTTATGCTCACAAATCAAAAGCCTCTTAGATGCTATGGCTCTGAACGTATGTGCTTGCTGTGCCTTTAAGATAGCAACAGTAACCTCCTTGTTAGACCCCTTCACAAGTTTGGATATGATGTATACACATGGAAGACATAAGCAAGCAGCAGGGATAATGCAGATGGTAAAAAATTATTATTGGTTCACAACTTTAAGAAAAAAATAGAATTTGCTCACCTGGTTCTGGAGCCCATAAATGACATATCTTCAATATATCTGCAATAGGTAACCAGATTTGCAGCCCAGCCATGCCCTCCATGCACAAACTGGGACTCCCAATGTGCCATGAAGAGATTGGCATAGCTGGGCGTGAACCTGGTCCCCATCGCAATCCCGCATACCTGCAGGAAAAATGTGCCCTGAAACCAAAAGTAATTATTGGTAAGTATAAGCCAAATATTCTCCAAAATACACATCAAATCAATCACATCAAATTTATTTTGGAGGAGATTTGGCTTATACTTACCAATAATAACTTTTGGTTTCAGGACACGTTTTTCCTGCAGGTATGCAGGAATGCGATGGGGACCAGGTTCGCGCCCAGTTATGCCAATCTCTTCATGGCACATTGGGAGTCCCAGTTTGTGCATGGAGGGCATGGCTGGGCTGCGAACCTGGTTACCTATCGCAGCTATATTGACGATCTGTTTTTCATTTGGAGGGGAAAAGTGGAAGACCTGGAATCATTTCTACACCACCTCAGCTCTAACAATTGGGGTATTAAATTGACCACAAACTTCAGTGAGTCATCTGTTCAATTTCTAGACTTATGCATATTTGTAGAGAATAATCAGATCAAGACAAAAACCCACTTTAAGACAGTGGATGTCAATAACGTCATACAACTTAACAGTAGCCACCATGATCTGTGGCTGAAAAATGGTCCTAAGTCCCAGTTCCTAAGAATGAGGAGGAACTGCAGAGACAAAGAAATGTACGATACTCAAGCTAATATAACCAGGAAAAAATTTTTAGAAAAGGGATATAAACAAGAAGATTTGGAGGTCAATATAAAGGAAATAAAGAAATTGGATAGGAAGCAATTATTGAGGTACAAACCAAAGGAGACAGGTGTAACATCCAAAATGGTCCCTTTTATATGTAATTATAACAAAAGTAGTTGAAAAATAAAAAGGATCTTCAACAAATTCTGGCCAATTCTCAGAAACGATAATCTTTTAAATACAGTTCTATCGGAAAAAACCCAAATAGTGTACAGAGGAGCACTAAACCTTAAAAAAATCTTGGTACGCAACCACATAAAAAA